CCAGAGACCGCGCCTGCAAATTCTAGAGAACAGCTCGCTGCCCCACTCGAAGCTCCGGTAGGCGCGTCTGCCCTGGGTGAGGGGGCGGTTCAGCTGCATCCTTGGGGTCACTGACCAACAGGCACATTTCTTGTTGAAAACCTGGGCCAGGACTAAGATGTTATTTCATGCTAATATATTCATGGTGCTGTGAGCTCTCGGTAAAATGCCTACGTGGAAGAGGAAAAGAGAAAACTGTTGGGAGAACTTTGCAAAATAAAATATGAAAAGAACCATTTGTTTATTCCAAAAATGGTCTGAAGAGAGGGGCGTGTCAGATGTGGAACACCGTCTGTGTCAGTTACACACACACACACATGCACACGCACGCACACACACACCAGGTGCTGTAGGAGTTCCACAGTGCAGCTCCGAGTTGTAACCATAAAATGTAGAACTTCGGTTCGTTTCCGTAGGAACTGGGCTCCTCCTCGTGCACAGTTCATTCTTAGCTTAAATGCACACTTGAACTTTCTTGTTCACTTCGACTTTCTTTTTGAAATTAAGTCCCACAACCCTACAGAAGCCATCATAAACCATTGAGATACAACAAAGCAGACTTTGGTTTCTGCAAGGAGCCTCTTCCAGCTACCAGAAGCTTCTGGACTAACCAATTACTACTCTGTGGTCAACTTGACCCCAGACCACTTCCTCGGAGTAGCCCAGCCTCCACGCACGGGGTTGGGTGGGAGGCTGACCTAGAGACAACTTTCCCTTTCCACATCCTTTCCCCCGCCCTACGGTCCCAGTAGATTTTGGTGAACATTTCAATAAAGGCTCAGTTCCTTGGGTGATGAAACTTTCATCATCCTCGCCTGTGTTTTTCTGGGAGTTGGCTTCTTCGTAGTTGCTGCCCTTGTTGGAAGGGCAGACCTGAAGGTGCCCAGTCTTAGGTCCTGGATGACTTAGGGACTCAGCGGGACACGGACAGCACACTAAAGAACCTTTATCTTGACGGAACTTAAGGAGGGAACTGTATACAGAGCCGCAGTCTGGAATGAAGGATGCTGAGCCCCATGGGGACTAGCAATGGTGGGGAGCCACTGCCACTCCCAGGGGTGGAGCTGGAGCGGTGCACCCGGGCCTCTCTGTAAGAGCCAGAGCCCTGGTGAAGTAAGGGTAGGAGGGGAATTACAGGGAAGCTGTACATCATACTCAAAGATTTCCTGCCTGCGTCCCCCACGGGCCTAAGCCATATAGAAGCTAGAGCACAAGGCAGCCCCAGAAACGGTCTGTAATGTTAGCAAGCCGGGCACAGAGCAGAGCAGAGGGGTGCATGGTGGATCTGGGGTGCCGGGCGGGAGTGGGGGACAGTGTGACGATCGCAGATGCCCAGCACACGCTTTGAGAAGTGTGCTCTGGACCTGTCTTGTCATCCGCACCCATTTCATCCCCGAGGGCAGGCCGTGAGCTGGAACGTCTCTGCGTGCCATGCTTGTGTTTTCTAATTACCTCAGCAGGTTTACCCTGGAATTACAGCCTTTCCCTAGTGGCTATATTTTACTTAAGGAAACAGACCAGCAGTTCCCAGAAAACACTCTTTGCTAGTTTCTAAATTCAATCTGTGAGGTTAGTTCTGACTCCAGGCAGCACTGTGTATAATGTTCCGCAGCATTAAAGGAACTGATGACTCAATTTGCTTTGCTGTCTTGCTGCGCGCTGCTCTTCCTGGGGCTTCCGTCCTCGTCCCCGTGGTAAGTGACACCCCCCCGGTGAATCTGCTTCCCACACGGCGCTCTGCAAGACCGCGGTTTTATCGGGGGGAGCTCTGTGATCAGAATCCACCACGTCAGGCCTCCAGCTCAGTTCCAGGAGGTGCGGGTTTAGCCCAAGGGCAACTTTCTGACTTCGGGTCTAGTCAGCTTTAATTGGGCTGGTTATTTCCGGAGAACACGCGTCAGGTACCTGATGAAAAAGCGCAGGGACGGCAGAGTCAGTTGATGGGAGAGGATGCTGACAAGTCAGGAGGAGCAGAGCTGCGTGTGTCAGAGGGAGGAAGGACTGGCCCTCTCGTGGGCAGGGTGGCAGATACCTCTTTAAGCAGGGGCAATGGACATTTGTCTTCATTCTGTCAGTACCGCCTCTGATCCCTTTCCAGGGTTGGAGAATCAGCCATTGTATGACTCTTGGCAGGAAGTGGACTTTGTCTCCTGCTCCAGGAGCCAGAAGGTCCTGTCCCTGACCCCTGGTAGACGAACCTCAGGCAAGGGACGGTCAATACTGGGCCCATACTGGACTCCTGCTTGTGCTCTCCAGCAGACGATGCGAAGAAGTGTTGCAGTTGCAGTTTGTTCATTCTGGAGGCACGGTGGCAGTGGTCGTGGTGATTACAGATGAGCATTACTACCTCGTGACTTGTACTTGTGCTCAGGAAAGGGAAGGACCGAGACCTGGGGCGGGGGTGGGGAGAGTGTGGACCTTCCTCAGCCTCGCCACCCGCTGCTTTCCAGGATCCGCTGAACCGTCTGGGACCAGGGAGTGCTGACGTCATGGGGGCACATCTCAGCGCTTAGACACTTGCCTCCCTCTGAATGCCACACGGTCCCAGTGACAGGACACCATCAGTTACCCTAGAGGAGACTCACCGAGGTGGGCGGAAGAGTGTGCCCTTCCGTCACCACGAGACCCCGGCACACCTTCCGTCCCCGCATCCTGCCACCTCACCAACCTCACCGTCTACCCAGTCTTCCCGGTTGCCCCTTGAACACACTCTCCCCGACCCACCGCCCCCCGCCCCCAACCAGGCCCCTGCTCTTCCTCGGCCTGCAGTGCCCTTCCCTGAGTGGCTCTTCTCCCGTGGATTTCTTCCGCTAATTCCTGGTTGGCTCAGAACTCACCTGCGCAGAGCCAGCCTCTCGGGGGCGCCTTGCTGAAAGGCACCCGCCCCCACCAACAGCACCCACGTGCTTCATTCGCCACCCTTCACTTCTTCACGCGGCGTGATTTTTCTTCCTAGCACTCACCCCTGCCGACGTAGGCTTACTCGCTGACAGTCTGCCGTGCTCCTGACAAGTGTCCTGAGCCGGTCCGTGGGCTCTGCCTGCTTTCTGACCTGCAGTCTCCATTCCCTCTCATTGCACAGCGTCTTCCCTTTGGCCGCTGTTAGGTAGCATTTTCCCATCACCGGGTTGGTCGATCCTCATTCTTGTCATTGAAGACAAATCCTTGTTGCTACGGATTCATGGCCAAAGGATGGGAGGCCTCATGCTTTTTCCTTTCCCACGGAGCTGGTTCCTTGGCTAAAAGGACTGTGGCATTTATAGCAAAGTCAGCAGGCTGCTTGCTGCTGCCTCGGGCAACAACCAAGGCCTGCTCGCGGGCAGGGCAGGCATTTCGTATTTTCCCGCCCCATTGCCTTACATAAATGCCCAGCACATTGCCTTACATAAAACCGGTGCTTAAAGTATCTTTGCAAAGTGACTGAGTCTCTTTGAACTTGATTAGTCTTGATTTTATTTCTGAAGAGTTGGGACAAGCAGAAGGGCCTTGGGATATTTAGTTTTCCAAAAGTTGGGTGATCACTCTGGCCGTGCGGGTCAGTTGGTTGAAGTATCATCCTGTACACCAGAAGTTTACAGGTTCGATCCCTGGTCAGGACACATCACCAAGGTTGTAGGTTTGATTCCCAGTTGGAAGGCAACCAGTTGACATTTCTCTCTCTCAAATCCATAAAACATACCCTTGGTGAGGATTTTTTTTAAAGTAAGATAATCTGTTTCCTTTTTATTTAGGTGGTATGTAAAAATCACTTTCGGTGTCTTTTATTACACTAATGATTAAAATGTGGGATGTGTTCCACTCACGATATTCTCCCCGCTCCCGCAGTTGACAAAAGACGGAATATTTAACACTGACTTCTAAAAGCAGTTTCATGTTTTCAGCGACTACACCATATCAACAACGGACTTGGAAACAAATCCAGGTTTTAGAGATGTTTTTCTGTTTAGTCACCCAGAAGCGGGTCCTCATCAGAACGTGACTGCTCTGGCACCTTGATCTTGGACTTCCAGGCTCCGGGAGAGTGCTCAATAAATGTCTGTTGTTTACCAGGCACCGGGTCTGGGTGTTCTGTTCAGCAGCCCCAGGGGACTCCAACAAAGGGGTGGGGCGGGGGTGGGGCAGGGGCACCACAGGCCCCTGGGAAGCCCAGGAGCTGAAGGAGGTCCAGCGGAGCCCCAGCTACCTGCAGGGGCGGGCTTGCTTGCATCCCGTTTTAAATGTAGTTAGGGAGCTTGCTCCTTACAGAAAGTCTTTCTGGAAGGACAATATTTACACCCTGAGACATCCAGACCCACACATTTTATTTTATGCTGTCTTAAAGTAGACGAACACCACCCCTGGGGACATCTGCAGCTTCATTTCCTTCCTGGACGTGCTGTCTAAGCCCCGTGAGACGGTGCGTGCATTTATTTGTCCCCCCGCACCGGGGCTCTTTCCGGGGGGCAGGTCATCACTCCCACCCCTACGTCACTTCCCAGTCTGGCCGGCACATGAACAGATGCACGAAATACCCAGATGGGCCCTTCTTTGCACATCACTTACTCGAATGTTTTAGAGGTTGGATTCGGACTCATTCTGGGGAAAACCCAAATATTGCCACTTCACATCCTCAGTGTGTGTGTGTGTATTTTTTAAACCCAGAAGTACACGCAAGAACGGCTAACGAGAGAAAATCCAGCCTTATCCCTGTTAATCTGCATGACTAAAGGAAGCCAGGTGGTCGGCGGCCCCCACAGCCACACGATTTTACTCAACAATAGTGAGTTGTGTGTAAATCAGTTTCCATGGTTTGTTCATCTCGGCCGCTTTGCAGGTGGCCGAGGAGACACAGCTTGTCACTGCGTGTTAAGGACCCAGCGATGTCACATCCCCTGCCCCCCCCAACATGTAACAGACTAGTGTTCCATAAATATGAGGATCTTGGTCTAGGAGGGGAGTTCATCCTGACAGGTGAAGGGACAATGATGGTCCTGACTTTACTATTTTGTTTGCTTTCTTTTCTGTTTCAACTACCCTTTGTTTTTCCTGCAAGAAACATTTCCCTCAAGTGCATGCAAGACACTGACCAATTCCTTTCTGATCTGAGTTCAGCGGAGCCCAAAGAATACGCTCTGAGAAGTAAGTAGGTTCTCCGTTCCGTGGGGGAGCGCGGGGCAGGCTGAGGTTCGTGCTGGGGCGTTCTAGAAAAACTCTTGAGAATTAAAAGCACAGAACCAAATGGGGAACATGAGACGAGCCTCAATTTACAAACTGCACCAGGAATCAAGGCGGGAGGAGGGATTTTTCTCCCAGAAGGCAATAGAGGAAGTGGTAGCAATTCAAGACAGAAGGAATCTCATGAAGACCAGCCTCCCAGTAAGATAAAAAGGTTTATAAAGTATATGATGCTGTTATTGTCATCGAGGCTGATAACGTTTCACTGCTGTATGAGAGAGCTTACTTTATTTCTTTTTGTAGACATTTAGTTTTGAGGATGAATTGTTCAGGGAACGAGTCTTGCCCTTTATGTGTCTGATAGTGAATTCTGAGGCATGTGTTGGTGCGTAGACTGGCTCATGCTGGAAGAAGTTCAAGGTCACCAGACCTCTTCGAGTGTGATAAGGATGGATGTCAGGCTGCCGTATTTATTTATTTTTGTAGTTTCCCCCAATTTTTTTTAAGAATTTATTTATTTATTTTTAGAGAGGGAAGGGAGGGAGAAAGAGAGAGAGAGAGAGAAACATCAATGTGCGGTTGCTGGGGGCTGTGGCCCACAACCCAGCCACGTGCCCTGACTGGGAATTGAACCTGCAATGCTTTGGTTCGCAGTCCGCGCTTAATCCACGGAGCTATGCCAGCCAGGGCTCCAAAATTATTTTCTTAGCTAAAGGGACCGGTACCTTCCTGCCAGAAGGGGGCAGGATTCAGACTCGGGGGCAGGTGACTTCCGTGGGTGAGTGAGTCATCGTCGATGGAAACCACTAACAAGGAAAAATGTAACAACTCGCTCTTTCCAAAGCCATAAAATCAATCATCGCAATTGCCATTTCCATTTTGGACACCTTTATTTTGTATTGGAAAACACCCAGTAGCCTCAATATACGTCATGCAGATAGATAAAAGTGCGGGTTTAATACTGGTTGGGAGCCAGTGCTGTTCAACTCTGGATTAGATGTCCTCAAATTTAATGAGATGGTGGGGAAAGGTAAATCCAACTGCTTCGTTAGCCATTTTCAAGTCTCCTGCTGGAACCGATTTTGTTTTGCTGCAACACTTGATGATATTTACAGGGAACATTCTGACACAGCCAGGCCCAATGAGCTGGCCAAGGGAATCCAGAAGGTACAGTGACCGGCTCAGACTCGCAGTGGGGAGGAGGGGGCCTGCGGTGCCATCCTCAGCCACAGCTTTACGTGTTAGCACTTTATGTGCCTTAGAAGTTCCTCTAGCCGTGTTCTACCTGTAGAAGCCTGCAAATTGAAAGTCTTTATTTTTTTAAAGTTCCTTGAGATGAATGGTCCAAGAAAGAACTGAGTGATTCACATAAACGGACCAGAGGACAATTGCTTAACTTAATAGATGGCTACTACTATCTCCAGCTCTTACACTGATTTTCATTCTAACACAGAAAACACTCGACTTCCTTGCTTTGACATTTTGCCTGATTTCTGAGCCCGATGCGTGGTTCTGACCTTTGTTCTCAGCACGGTTTTCCCGTGGATGGAAAAATAATGAGTCAGTCTTTAGAGAGTACTTTCTCATGACGGGTACCGTTCCCCGGGCGGGAGTTTTCTCATTTGGGTCCAACCCCCACCCCCGCGGGGAGGGTGTTTTTGTCATCTCTGTTTTATAAATGAGAACGCCGAGCCACGGACATGTAAAGGATTTCGCCTGAAATAAGTGGCAGGCCTGGAGCCCAGGTCATCTGTCCCCGAGCCTGGACTTTCCGTCACTGCCTGAGATGAGCAACGGGAGAAACAAGTGAGAAACAGCAGCCACACAAGGAACGAGGCAGAGCTACGTGTATCAGTATGGAGGGAATACACAGAAAGAACACCAAGAAAAAACGTTGTAGCAGAATGCGTACAATACCTCGGTTTTCAGAAATGCAAATGAAGAAGCTCTCCTGCTTAGGGAAACGAGTGTGAACTACTGATGGGAGGATGCCTGGGAATGAGCTCCGCCCAGTGCAGCTGGAGGTTGCCTTGGAGCAGGCGGTGCATGTGGGGGGCGGGGGGTGGGGAAGTCAGCTGGGGACTCATCCAGTTTCAGAGGATGGACTGAATTTTATTTTATTTCTTCACCCTCACCCAAGGACATTTTTTTTTCATTGCTCTTAGAGAAAGGGGAAGGGCGAGAGAGAGACATCGATGTGAGAGAGAAGCATCAATCGGTTGTCTCCCATGTGGGCCTGGGCTGGGGATCGAACCCATGATCCTTCGGTTATGGGATGGCGCTCCAACCAACCAAGCCACACCGGCTAGGGCTCCAGCTTTATATTTTAAGCATAGATGTCTCTTATTTTTTAAAAAAGATTTTATTTATTTATTTTTAGAGAGGGAAGGGAGGGAGAAAGAGAGAGAGAGAAACATCAATGTGCGGTTGCTGGGGGCTGTGGCCTGCAACCCAGGCATGTGCCCTGACTGAGAATCGAACCTATGACACTACTTATTTTTTTTTCTTTGTGCCTTGTTCATCTGTTAAATATTGCATACTGTGTTGAACCTCCATCCCCAGTCCAAAGCATGCAGACGATGAGAAGCAGGATCTCTAGTAGTGTGTGGGGCCCTGAGCACGAAGGTGGAAAGAGAGGGTGGACAGAATGCAGGCGGAGGTGTTTGGCCTCGCAGGAGGGAACTGCAGTTGGTGTTCCCTGACTTCAGCCCCCCAGGACTCACCTCTCTCCGTGAACGGGCCACACTCTCCGTGAGCACGGCTGCCTTGCGCCAGGCCCCGGGCCTCGGCTCTGCTGCCTCACACGCCGACCACAGCCCTGTAAGGAGACCCACTGGGACAGTGCTGTGGGTGGAACTGGGGCCTCTAGATAGATACGGGGGAACCCCAGTCCTGGTACTAATGGGTGTGGCCTATTTTGGAGACAGGGTCTTTGCAGACCTAGTCGAATTAAGAGAAGGTCAGACTGGATTAAGGAGTGCCCTAATCCAATGACTGGTGTCTCTGTAAGAGAGACACTCAGACACACAAGAATGCCACGTAATGACCGAGGCCGAGACTGGAGCGATGTGTCTCTAAGTCAGGGAAAGCCCAGGAGTGCCGGGGATCACCAGCCCCAGCAGAAGTCACGCGTGGGCGTGGAACAGAGTTTCCCGCGGAGCCTCCAGAAGGAGCCGATCCTGGCGGCCCCTTGAGTTCGGACTTCTGGTCTCCAGAACTGTGGGGCGAGAGACTTCTGTTTTTCTGAGCCACCCTGCGTGTGAAGGTTTGTGAAGACAGCCCTAGGAGACCAACACAGAGCGCTACGGCATCTCAGACACAGACGAACACAGCGTGCGTTTATGATCTGCGTTGATAACAACAACAAAAAAAAACAAAGCAGTCTCAGGTCCGGGAACTCCTTTCTCCTGAGATGGACCACATGTCTCCACAGCCATTCCTTCAAGTCCAGCCAGACCCGTTTGTGACACTGTCTGCAGCAGGGCCCTTGCAGGCGAAGCTGTCTTTTGTGGAATTAACACTGCGCTCGCCATACTGGGGCCCTCGTGGTTTCGTGTGATTTCTGCCGTTTCCTGCACTTTATTCCTCAGGGACGAATGCGGGGGAGGCGGGGCCTCTGGCTCCCAAGCAGCCTGCAGGGCTGTTCATTTCCTGTTTCCTCAAATCTCGTAACATCCCTGACATCTTCCCAGGCAGCTGCTTTCATTCTGCAATTTTCTTTCTTTCTTTTTTTTTTTAAAGATTTTATTTATTTATTTATTTGTAGAGAGAGGGGAAAGGAGGGAGAAAGAGAGGGAGAGAAACATCAATGTGTGGTTGCCCCTTGCACGGCCCCTACTGGGGACCTGGTCCACAACCCAGGCATGTGTCCCACCTGGGAATTGAACCAGTGACCTTTTGGTTCGCTGGCCGACACTCAGTCCATTGAGCCACACCAGCCAGGGCTCACTGCAAAATTTTCTTAACCTTTCAGGTCCCTTCTCCCCGATCCTACTCCCTTGGGTGCCATCGTTTAGCTTCTGGAAAGATTATTTCATGTCTCTGGTGGGGGTGTCTCCTCTTCCGTCCCAGAAGCCCAGTCCTGGGGTGGGTAACCCTGTAGTGGGAGGCAGTCATAGGGAGCCTCTCACGGGGCTGGCTGGCCACTGGCCCCAGCTGAGCCCTTGTCCTCCTCCAGTCATCAGTGCAGGACTCTTTAATGATACTTGATTTGCCTTCTCAGAAGTTGCCTATTTTTTCATCAGCTGTCATCCTGGCCAGCCCCGCCAGGTGCTGGAGTTGGGGACAGACAATGGCTGAAACCAAGGGACTCTTGTCCCAGAGAAAGGGGGACACAGCAGGCCCCACTGGAATTTCTGGGCTAACCAGAATTCTGATGTCCTTGCTGCAGCAGGCTGAAACAAGCACCCCCCACCCCGCCAAAAAAGATATCCCCTTTCTAGTTCCTGGGACCTATGACTGCTGCCTTGTATGGAAACCAGGCCTTTACAGATGTGATGCAGCTGAAGAATTTGAGGTGGGGACTATACCTTGGATCACCCAGCTAGGCCCTAAAGGCAGTCACATATATTCTTCCAAGAGGGAGGTGGCAGAGACTTGAGACACAGAGGACAAGGGGATGGGACTGGAGAAGCAGAGGCTGGAGGAATGTGGCCACAAGCCCAGGGCGCCGGCAGCCACCGGGAGCTGGAAGAGGCAAAGGGTGGATTCACCCCCCGGGAGCCAAGGGAAGTGTATCCCGGCTGGCAGCCTGATTCCAGTCCAATGATGCTGGGTTTCCGTGGTTTAAAGCCACCGAGTTGCTGGACAGTTGTCACAGCAGTCACAGAAAACAAATACGCACCCTGTCCTTGTTCTGCAAGCCCGGGATGAAGGGCTGACCAGACCTGAGGGGCACCCCCAGGAGGTGTGTGCAAAGAGCCTGCTTCAGGAGGTGGCAAATCAAGTCGATGGCGCATTCTGCT